GATATTACAACCAGAACAAGAATGAGAACAACCCATTCATGCAGATAATCCATCAAATGTGTTTTTAAGCATTAAAAGACAATTTTAATGTGTCACGACCTGAGCAAACCAAATAACTGAATAAAGAAAAGTAGAACATATGACAAGCCTTGGCTCTCCAGGAACAAGACACCAAGTAAAATAAAAACAAATTCACATCTCTTATATTTGTATCGCCAGCAAGTGCCATGCAACTGAATATGGTATTGCAGACAAAAAGCAATTTGCCTATGGTTAGAGAAAGCAAGTTGCTGATTGTGGATCTTGCAGGGTCTCAAAGATAGACAAATCTGGTATGTTCTTTATGGTTGATATTTATAATTAGTTGATTAAATGCATGCTTCAAACCCATCTCGGCATTAACTTTTTCTGTGTTTTTTTAGTACAGAGTTTTGTACTCTATCTGTGTGTGTGTTTTCTTACTAGACTACTGGTCTCAAAAATTTCTGTTTTCTGTTAAACAACTGAAAGTAGGAGCATTATTTAATGAAAATCATCCTTCAAAAACTTGCATAACTATTTACTCATGTTGCAGGCAGTGAAGGCCTCTTGCTTGAAGAGGCTAGGTTTATCAATTTCTCTCTCACTTCAATCGGATAATGCATAAATGCATTGGCTGAGAACAGTACACATATAACTACGAGGGATTCTAAACTTACTAGATTGCTTCGTGATTCTTTTGGAGGTTAATTAGTGTGGAACTCTTTACTTATGGTCCGTCTTTTTGTTCCTCATACTACTCATGTCAAAACTTGAAGTTTTTGGACTAGGACACTATAAATTATGTCTATCATCTATCACGCTAATATCTCTGTTTCTGTGGTTTTCGGTAGTATTTTAATGGTTACAATATTAGTTATATAAATAGTAAGTTTATACCTTGATATGTTCCCCTAGATTCTAATTTACTTCTTCCAATGTGCACAGCAAAAGGATTACGTTTAGGTTAAGTCAGCGCATTCTGTATGCATTATTAGTCATTTTATCCGAATATGCTTGTTGGTTTTATCTTCTAATATTGTTATGAGATTCATCTGTAAATGAATAGGCTCTGCAAGGACTTCACTTATAAGAGCAATTGGGCCATCTTCACGACATCATGCAGAGACCACTAGCACTATAATGTTTTGGCAGAGGGTGAGTTTCTTTGAAAAATACTGCAATATAAAAGTTGAGGAATTCTCTTGTCAAATGCATGCAATGTTCTCTGTTTAATTCTTGACAAACCTCTCTCCCTTTCTCTTTGTTTTGTTATTTTGCCATGGCATTTTCATGTTCCTTTTTTTTTTGGAAAGGCTTTCAGTAAGTATTTAAAAAGGAGGAAAAAATTTTCCCCCTTAAAAATTAACATCCCAAAACAACAGACATGCAAGCAACAGAATTCGAAGGTAATTTACCTTCCCTAAAATCCTTTGTCGCAAGGCAATCAATCTGTCTTCCCTAAAAGCACCATATCCAGAAAAGATTCAACAACAACTCCTACCCAGAAAATTCCCAAAAAACCTCTTCCCTGTTTGTAACAAAAAACATGCAGGGGAGACAGGACAACGAAGCCCAAGAAGAAAAATTTACAAGATAAATCTCTCAATAGCCCAAGCCTAAGGCTAGCAAAAGAGATAAGCTCTAAGATCAACATTTTCATCTTCCTTATACTTTGATATATGTAACATATATAAATTCTGAATCTTTCAGTCTTAGAATTTTCCTGGTTTTGCGGATTTCCACTCAGCCTGCAAATGGAGCAGGCTTGCTTTGCTGGATATTGTTTTCTTCCATTAAATTGAAATTAGATGCAGCGCTGCATTGATTTATACAACAGAACTGGTATAAGCTTGCCGTAGTGGGAGGAAGTTGTTGCACTATGTCTTAATCACAAGTAGATATGTCATTGTCCTGCATTAACTGAATTGTAAAAGGATATGGCTTCCAAGGCTTTTACCAGCTCCTGTGAGCTGACTACGAAGAATGTTCATTAACAATGGCAGGATTTGAGTGAGAAAAATCCCCTATATTAGCTAATTAAGTGTGGAAATATTCTACAAGCAAAACCAATTGAGCTTTTCTCCTACTTAGTTGGGTAGGTATCAGTTCCCTACTTTTTTGGAGCCAACCAAAGCTTATGCTGAGTGACTAAACCTTAGCAAAATGGAAAGCTAGGGTGTATGAAATCTGAGGTGGGATTCTCCATCTAGAAATGGCCAACATTGCTATTTAATATGTATGCATGTACATATGTGCATCCATGTTAGCATGCATACATGTGTCTGTATTCATGTATCTTAGTTATCTGTTCTGCTTTATAGCTAAATGCCTGCACCATAAATGTTGATGAAAAGACTGCACTTGTTTTATATATTATCTTTTTAATGCTGAATTGATGAGGCAGCCTAATAACTTGTTTTTTGCAGGCAATGAAAATTGTAAATATGGTAAAGCTTAAAGAAGAGTTTGGTTATGAAAGTTTATCTCGGAAGCATCAGAGTCAAGTAGACCATCTCACAGCAGAAATTGATAAGCAACAGAAGTTAAGGGAGAGAGACAAATATGATTTGGATAAGCAACTGCGGGAATGTCAAGAATTTTTTTAGGGTAAAATACTTAAATTTTGTTAAGTTTTAATTATAATTTTATACTGATTTATTAATTTTTGAAACTTACAATCCGTCTAAAAAAATATATTCTACTAAATATATAAGTCCAGCCATTAATCAATTGTTAAAGTTTTCGTTAATTTGATAATGTGATAATATTGAAAGAATAATTTTATTTTTTTTTAAATTTAGAAATTATTATTATATAAATTATATTTTTTTCAAAAAGAATTTTCCAGCAGGTTAGGGGAGGGAAGCACTTGCTGTGACGTGGTGGGCTAGTGAATGGCAGCACCACCAGCCCGCTACATTATTTAAGAGAAAAAAAAAGAATATTTTAATTTTTTTATATTTTTTATTAATAGGGTTTACACTTTTACGTCTCATTGTCTATTTTGAAAATTAAAAACATCGTGTAAAATTTTGATCAAAACTTAAAAAATTTAAGTATTTTATTTTTGTTTTTATGATATAATTGTGCTAGGATTCTATTGCATCCACATGCATATATTTCACGCATACATAAATACTCTGTTTTTTCTTTTTGGTGTGATGCAGAAACCCCAGAGGTTTATACTACACTTATTCCCATTCTAAGGCCAACTAGATTGTAGTTAATACTTTTTTATTATTATTATAGTTAAGACTGGTTCCAGAATTTCGCGGGTTTTTCTAACATATTTCTTCTAAAATCACACTATTATCCTGTTCTGTTTGAATCTGGTATGCATCCAAATGTTGGTATCATTAAGAAAATAAAAAATTTAATATCTTATAATATTTTGCAGTTTTACGAGAAGGAAAATACTTGCTTGGAATTGGATATGAAAGACATTTTAGCTCAATTATATTGCCAGAAAGTTCGTAACTCTTTGATGCAAGATAAAGTTGCAGAGTTTGGAATGAGTTCAGAACTTTCTTGGATCAAAATTTGCGGCGGCTGGTTTTCCACATATTTATATGTTATATGATCCGAGCAAGTCTCTACAATGTTGGTTTAATAAACTAAGAATTTTTTCTTTTGTTGACAGTGAACCTCTTATTGTATAAAAGTCCTTCTCATAATGTTATCGTCTTGAATGGTAGCCCTACTTCAACTTTGTACCTAGAATCTTGATTAATGTGGATGCAAACAACTTTGATATAGAAATGAATCATGATTATACTGTCTCACATGAACATACGTCAAAAGAACCAGAAAATTGAACAAACTTCCTGCTTGTTTCTTTCCCTCCAAGACAAAGAAACTCTGAACTTTTGAGGTTTGGTTTTTCTTCTGTTTTTTTTTTCTAACTGAACAAGCTTTGGTTTTTGCTTGTATAGTTTGATTCTGAGAAACAGTGCAAAATATACTTTAATCTCCTTCATTAATTGGACAAATAAAATTTCATTAAACAATGTATATCTATAACTATATATAGTAAATAAGAAACCAGCTTGAAGATTTTTATAACTCCTCGATTCATTTAAGTTCAGTAGGTGATCTTCAAAAAAACCAAGATACCATTGTACCAGCATTCACATGCAAATATTTACAGGCATACATAGAAACCCCAGAGCTTTACGAGACGGTTATTCCCATCCTAAGGCCAACCAAATTGAATGCAAGCAGTGAAATGATAGAAATCATATCTCAGCAACCAATTTCTCTGAATCGGCAGCTTCAGATAATGTACCCTTAGTCCACCGCTTTAGCATCTCCAATGCTGCCTTTGGCTGGTCCATAGGAACCATGTGACCCGCATCGTGAACCTGTAAGATCATTACACAGTTATGTCAACATCAGCTGCAAATTATTTGCTATCAATAGATTAAAGACAAAGGCAGGGTTGGGTAAAGAGAAGACCTTTAGGAAACCAAGAGGTCCATGAGTTTTCAAGACTCCTGCTTCTGAGCCATCAACGACAAAAGGAACCTCAGGAGATGCTACAAACTCCTTCTGACCAGACCATTCCATTGCATGGACCCATCTCGAATTGCCTGTTGAAGAAAAATTACATGACCACATTCACATACAAATTGGCGAAGTAAATAACTAGAT